CGCTTGGGCGGCCTCGGCCCCGGGGCACATGCCGGTGCCGGGTGCAAAGGCATCCCCGTCCCCTGGTGTGCCCCCAGACGCGCAGCCCTGTGTGAGTGTCCCCACCCCCGGGTGTCCGGGAGCCTCTAATGGTTGGGGACCACTGCTCTAGATCCTTTTCTACCATACTGCTTCCTAGACAGACATTTCCCATTTTGCATGAGTGCAACTGATTTTTCCTTCTTAAATGGAGTACTTTGCATTTTTCCTTCTTAAATGGAGTACTTATTGAATTTGCTCCTAGGGTACATCTACACAGCAGCATTATTTCGGAATAACTCATGTTATTCCGAAATAACATAAGACATTATTAACATAAGTGACATTATTCTGAAACAGGGAAGAGTGTTCTTCCTTCAACTTCCTGCTGTGTAGACTGTGCCTAAAGCCGAGTTAATCTATTTTGACTTAAGCAATGCAATTGATGTAGCTGAAGTTGTGTACTGAACTCGACTTTAGCCGTGCTGTGAAGACGTACCCCTGTTGAATTTCCTCCTATTTACTTCAGACCATTCCTCCAGTTTGTCCAGATCATTTTGAATTTTAATCCTATCCTTTAAAGCATTTGCAACCCTTTCCAACGTGGTATAGCCCACAAACTTTATAGCTGTCTACACCGCAGGCTTTTTGCTCAAGAACAGCTGTTCTTGCACAAAAACTTGCCGTGTGTCTACACTGCACGTGCGTTCTTGCGCAAGTACATTTACAGTACAGCATCGGAAAACAGGGCTTCTTCCAGAAGAGTTATTCCTCTCCTCTTAAGGAATAAGCCCTCTTGCACAAGAGCTCTTCCACAAGAAGGCAGTGTAGACAGGCAACATGATTTTCTTGCGCAAGAAACCCCTATGGCTAAAATGGCCATCAGAGCTTTCTTGCGCAAGAGAGCATCCACACTGCCATGGACGTTCTTGCGCAAAAGCACATTTCTTGCACAAAAGCACATGGCAGTGTGGACGCGCTTTTGTGGAAGACCTTTTGCACAAGAATTCTTGTGCAAAACAGTTCTTGCACAAGAAGCCTGCAGTGTAGACGTAGCCTATGAGTATACTCTCTATGCAGTTATCTAAGCCATTAATGAAGATACTGAATAGAACCCAAAACTAATCCCTGTTGGCCCCTATTTTTATATCCTTCCAGCCACTGATAACTGCTCTCTGGGTGTGTCTACACTGCACCGGTAGCTTGAAATAGCAAATTGCATAGCTTATTTCAAGTCAATTTCAAAATAGCTTATTTTGAAATTTGGTGCTGTCTACATAGCACTTATTTCAAGATAAATAGCTTTTCTGAAATGTCCCTTACTCCTTGTGGAATGAGGTTTACAGGGATGTCAGAATAGAGAGCCCATTATATTTCAAAATGACTGGCATGCTCAAAAGACACAGAAGAGCTATTTTGGGATACTTTCGGTATCCCAAAATAGGACTGCAGTGGAGACATAGACTTTGTGACTGGTTTTCCAACCAACTTTGCACACACTTTATTCCACCTAGGCATGTTATCCTGTCAAAGAAAGCTAGCAGGTTGGTTTAACACAATTTGTTTATGATAAGTCCATGCTGAATATTACTTATCACCTCATTATCTTCAAACTTTTGCAAATTAATTGCTTAATTATTTGCTTCATTATCTTTCCAGGTACATAAGTTAAATTGGCTGATCTGTAATTCCCCAGGTTGACATTATTTCCCTTTTTAAAGATGGGCACTGGAATTTCTTTCCTCTTCTATTACATTTCAAAGATAATCACCAGTGGCTCAGATATTTCCTCAGTCAGCTCCTTGAGTATTTTTGGATGCATTTCATCAGGTCTTGGTGACTTGAAGACATCTAATTTGTCTTAGTAACTTCTAACTTTATATTGTTTCATAGTAAGATGTAACCATTTTAACTAAGTAAAGAAATGCAACAATTGACTTACTATATGATTTTAGAGTATGTATATGGTAAGGACATAGGCTCAAAGCTAACATTTTAAAATACTGATTCATGTTTTCTGCATTATTTCTTTGCAAGAAGTATTAGCCTCCTACTGAATATTGTTTAATTTTCCCCATCCATATGTTAACTGCCTTGATGAGTACATTTCTATTAGATTCTGAAACTTTTCAGATCCCACTGGTTCCTAGCCTAGATAATTAAAATTATTTCTAAAATAAATAAAATTTGTTTCTCGATAGGAGTTTTTCAATATTGGCTTAAGACATCTATTACTCTGGTATATAAGTGCTGGTATTCATTGTGTGAAATCTATGTCTTATATTTATTATCTAGGCAGCTCTTATTTGCAAGATGAAAAACAGACCATTTCTTTATATTAGATAGAGAAGCCTGGTAACACATTCTTGCAAACTCTCCAAGTGAAGACCTCTCAGTGAAGGTAGCATGTGCATATTATGTGTGAAGAATTTGCAGCATTAAGGGCCATAACAGAACTAAGTTTTTGTGTGTACTGATTAGGCAGTGTATTGTTAGTTAGCTGTTGCTTACATACCAGCAACTAAATACACTTCCACATTAGCACATGCCCTTGC